CAGCCAGCCCGCCGCGCACCGCCGCCTCCGCCACCGCCGCGTAGAGCGAGCGCACCTCACTCACTGGCAGCCGGCACTTGGCCGCACCGTGAGCGATATTTGCTAGTGCTCGCGCATTGCACGACGAGACGAGGTCGAGCGTGCGCTGCACCAGCCGCTCAAGCTGCTCCTCGTGCCGCCGCTCGACGCGCTGCTTGCCCAGTTTGTTCCACAGGTTTGCAGCGTGGATGTGGTTCAAGCTCGACGCGTGGGCAGCAAAGAGCGTGAGCAGTGCGTCAGCGCTGCCAGCATTCGAGATGTGGCTGCTGAGCTTCTTAGCGTTGAGCTGACCACCGGCAGCAGTGCGGCTAGACGAGGGTGGCTGATCGCGCTCATTGTAATAGTCGCGCTCGCGCTCGCTTCTGGACCGACGGTCATCGTAGCCGCTGGGGTGGTGGCACGGGTAGTCGGGCGGCTGGCCAGCCATGCCGGGGTGGCGGGGCGGAGGGATGTGGGGAGGGTAGCCCGGCGGCATGCCAGGCGACAGCCGCGGGCCGTACCCCATCCGCGGGTACCCGGGCGGAGGGCCGGAAGGCGGCATTGGCGCCCGCTGCGGCGGGCCGGGCGGCGGGCCGGGGGGAGGACGTGGCCCGTGGTAGCGGCCGTTGCTCGTCAAGCCATAGCCCGGCGGCATGCCAGGCCGCGCGTGTATTTTCAGCGCTTTATGGCGCAGTACCCGGGTACGACGGCCGTGCTTCTAGACGCCGTCTGGACAGAATTTTACGACGGGGCACGGGACTTGCACGCACTGGCACTAACACAGGTACACCATTAGAGAGCAAACGACACTGGGCACGGGACCAGTGCGCGCTGACACTAACGCCATTGTAAAATTCTTTTTGCGCACTTCCTACAGAGAAGCTCAGAGAGAGGGCTACGAGAAAGCAATGCAGAGACCACCGCAGAGGAGAGCGTCGGAGAGCTCGCCCTCGCGCACACAGCGCGAGCGATATACGTAGCGTAGCTCGTGGGGGCTACGGCAGTGTTCTAGGTATATATGTGCAAGTGCGCCTGTTACTCTCAAACGCATACAAGAAGAGGAGAAAGAAGAGGAGGGACGCCAGTGATGACGAAACAGAAGCTAGCGCAGACGAGGGCAGGGCAGACCCGGGGACGGCGGAGTCGGAGCAGACGGCATCGGCCGCCGAGGAAACGTTGGGAAGAGGCACGAGGAGGGCGGCGACCTCGACCGACTAATGGAGGACCCGTCACCAGACGACGCAGGGCAGACGACGGGGAGGCGGAGCAGACGCGCAGGGCGAGACGAGGGAGGGAGCAGGATGTTGCTGAGATCAGCAGGAGGATGTACGACGAGATTAGGAGCAGCAGGGACCCGAGGGACCATGTGGAAGACGGCTAGTGTGCTAGTCTCCCCCATCGGGAGGACGACCCCGGCTAGTCGCCGACCACACACCCACAAAGAACCCTGCACAAAGACCGCAGGGCGGGGACCTGTTCCTTTTTACCCATCTCCTAGTAGAGGTGTCCGTTTTATTTATTTATTTACTCTCAAACGTCGTTAGTAAAGAGACAGAGAGGTCGCGAGCTCTCTGCTCTCTGTGCAGACTCTCTCCCGACACGGCTGAGCGCATCCCCGCGCATGGCTCTCGGGAACTCGCGGCGCGGACCGCCAGCGGCCAAGAGCCCTCATGCTGCACCACCGACGGCGTTCTCACTCACGCCGGCGCATCACATCCTGGGAGCCCTCTCGCACAGCCTCTCTCTCACAGAGTCCCGAGCAGCCTCAGCGCACCACCGCGGGGTAGTGCTCCGGGTACTTGTCGAGGTGCGCGTTGAGGGCCGCCTCCTGGTCCCGCTGCAGCCACGACGGCTCGTCGTACACGTCGGAGAAGAGGTACGCGTTGTTCGGCTTTGGCGCGGCCGACGCGTCGTTTAGCGACTTGATCACCTGCTTGCGGGTCGCCTTGCGGAGGTCCTCCTCCATCTGGGGCGACCACCAGCCGAGGGACTGGAGGTACCGCCCGAACCGGATGATCGGCGAGCGCGCCTCCCAGTACGCGCGCTCCGAGTCCCACCCCTGCTCAGGCGCGTGCGGGTTGCGGTACGCCGAGTCGTCGTCCGACGTCGAGTGGGCGCCGATGCGGTACGTCATGGCCTCGACGAGGACCGGCCGCCGCTGCTCGATGGCGATGGCCCGCGCGCGCTGCGTCGCGGCGACCACGGCGAGCAGGTCGTTGCCGT